ATGACTAAGGCCAGCATTGCATTGCAGAACTTACTTTGGCGATTTAGAGTTATTCTTGTGATGTACCTCAACATGTTTTATTTTGTATTAAATTTTTGTTAATTTATAATATAAAAAAATTAGATTAAAAATACTAATTTGCACTAATTTACTTTATTACTCTGTTATATTTTTACTATACATTGTTTCTTGTTTGTTTTATTTATTTACTAATGACATTTTTTATTAACTTCTTCATAAACAAATATTACAATCATAGGCAATAAAGATTAGTGTTGATTGATTATAAACTTATGAAAAAAAAAAGATAATGGAAGTAAAATAACTTCTAATAAGTCAACTAACATGTTAAAATTAAAATAAAACTAAACACATGCATTCATAAATACAGTATTTATAGATTAGGCCTGAGAATCCTCTACCCCATTTTATCCACTATATAAGCCCCTGGATCCTGGTGGATCTAAGGATAATCTTAACTTAGAAGTTTGTTGTCAGATAAAGAGAATGTGCTTAGTATTTGGTAGTGTTGGCAAAATTTCCTTTTAAATTCTTCTCTTTTAAGTTTAGTATGTGGGCTCTCACTGAGTCTTTTGTCTACCATGAAATCAAGGTATTGCTGCATTAGATATAGGTAATGTCATGTTATTGAATAGGACTGATGGACAGGAACTGTGGCAGAAGATAAAAGTCATATGTGTAATTGATTCATTAACTTTTGTCCACTGGTGGTTGCACCATTGCTTTATGTGGAAGAGGTGCCTTGAACATTGGATGAGGCTATTACAATATAAGGTTGGGGTGATAAAGTAGTTGTGTTGTTTGATAAATATTGCTAGGAATATTTTCAGGAATATCAAAAATAAAGAGAATGTAGAGGAAAACAATCATGATATAGCCTTGAGGTTATTCTCTTGCCTCAACATGATAGCATTTGTAGTAAACAGAGCCCCTATGGAATAAGAAGGAGCGATTGAAAAGTTAAGAGTGAAGTATAAGGAATACAATGTTATTAAGAGCTGAGGATACATTGTTTGAGATTCTGAGGCCCTGTTGGAAAACTTGTGAATCGATTATATACAGGATATATTCGAGAAGGATTTATTAAGAAAAATTGAGATAAAGGGGTGTATGCTAATCAATCTGCAGGTAGCTGCATTATTAGGATGTTTAAATAGTTTTTGGAAGAGAATTATAAATAAGTGTTTTCACTGGACAGAAAAGTGGATCTTTCAAAAGATAAAGTTGTAAATATATTATAAGTTTAGGACAAAGTTGTCAAAGGATTTGAGGAACAAGTAGATCAAATCTAACGGATTTAAGATGATCTAGTTTTTGTTATTTCCTCTTACGAACTACCACCTTGTCACAGTGGGAAAGCTAAGAGCCCATAGGATCTGGTTCCATGGGGAAGAGGTCGTGATGGCCAAGCGTGTTAAAACATTGCCTGTTTTAGCATTCTCATGCCTAGTGGGGTTGGTTCGAATCCAGCCTAGGAGGGTGTTGACTTTTATTTTGTGGCAGACCCACAAAATGAAACTCGACCCTCCCACTCTGGTTAGAATAGGTTTGGTTGTTCCCCTAGTACCACCTCCACCGTATGCCATAAATGGTGAGTAGTATATTATCAAATAAAGAAAAAAGTTTCATACGGAAGTTAAGAGTAGTTCATATTTCTAACAAAACAAATGGTGGTGTAACCATCTTGAAATGCAGGTAATGGCGTTTTAGGGGTAGAAAGAAGTCCATCTAAGATCTAAGGATCCCAAAATAAAGCTTCTCAATACTCCAAGTTGGGGTTAAATCGATGTTATTGCTTTATGTGGAAGAGGTGCCTTGAAGATGGGATGAGGCTATTACAATATCAGGTTGGGGTGATAAAATGGTTATGTTGTTTGATAAATATCGAATGCTGATAAACTTTGCTGCATCCAAGGACCTGGTTGTCGGCATCACGCTCTTCTCTGGCATAAACATCCATAAAGGAACATGGCGCTCTCCTTACTGAAGTACTGTGAACCAAATAGATCACATCCTGTTCAGTAGGAGGCACAGATCCAATCTTATAAGTTGCTGATCCTACCGGGGAGCCAACATGGATACCGACCACTATCTGGTGATATCTAGGATCAGAACCAGGATATCCAATGCAAGAAAAAACAGTGGAAAGAAGGTAGAAAGAATAGCGACATCCAGGCTTAAGGATCGAGAAGTCAGTGAACGCTACTACCGAACGTTGGATGAAAGACTGACAAGTGCAGGCATGTCATAGGGCTCTGCAGAAGAATAGTGGAACATCCTATCCCGAATCGTTAAAGAAACAGCAAAGGAGGTTGTAGGGATAGAGGAACGAGCAGTCAGGTCCCCGTGGTTTGATGTGGAGTGTGCAGATGCTACGAATGTAAAAAAACAAAGCCTACAAAAACATACTTCAGAAGTTGCACACGAGATGGGCCACACAGGAGTATAGAGACAGAAGGACGGAGGAGAAGCGACTGCATAGACGAAAGAAGAGAGAATGGAAAAGGCGACAGCTAGAGAAGATGAAGGAGCAAAGGAGACAGAATGAATCAAGGGCATTCTACAAGGCGGTGAATGAGAGTAGGACATCATTCAAAGCCAGGGTCCGATTATGTCGAAACGAAGACGGCTCCATGATCACAGAGAAGGAACAGATTTTGGCCCGATGGTCTCTTCACTTTGATGGACTTCTAAACGAGGCTGCAGATGGTCCGAATGATTTTGTAATCCCAAGTGCTGAGCATGACCTGGACTCCCCACACCCACCGACATGAGAGGATGTTCTTGAAGCAGTCAACAGGCTGAACAACAACAAAGCCCCAGGAGAGGATGGAATTCCTCCTGAGCTTCTCAGGCATGGTGGCGAGGAATTCCAGAGAGCCCTCTACGACATCATCCTCACCATCTGGATTGAAGAGAAAACGTCAGATCAGTGGAAGAATAATTTATCCACTACACAAGAAGGGTAATATCCTCGACTGTTCCAATTACTGTGGGATCTCACTTCTTCAGCATATAAGATCCTCTCAAACATTATCTACTGCAAACTACTCCCGTTTGCTGAGAGAGAGATTGGTAAGTAACAGGCAGTGTTCAGAGGAGGAAGATCTACAGTTGACCAGATGTTTAGCCTCCATATGATACTGGAAAATTCATAAGAGTACAGGATGATGCCCATCACCTGTTTATTGACTTCCGGAGTGCATACGACAGCATCAAGAGATCTCAACTGTATGCAGCTCTGTGTGACCTTGGAGTTCCCCCGAAACTTGTCCGCCTCATCAAGATGACTATGGGTGATGCTAGTTGCACTGTTCGACTTGTCACCTGAATTTGTTTCCACGCGAGGAATTAATTTTAACCTATCAATAAAGCAACTATATTTCCAATAATATCTAAATTCTAATATTACATAATATAAAACAGCTTAAGAAATAAATTTAATTTTTGAAGGGAGGGGGGATGACGTCATTGCCCGCGGGCGCCGAATATCTAGGGCCAGTACTAATACTGGCCGTTAAAAGTTTAAGGTTATGGTTATGTACATTAAAAATCTATCTTGACTATTAAAAAACCTCAATTTCGCGTACTTGTGAATGCATAATTACATAGATTAACTTTAATTAAATAAATTTTCTTAATTAGTTAAAAAAAAATCTTGGAAAATGAATTAAAATTGTAATTAAATCGAAAGCGACATCTGACTAATTCCGATAAAAACACTAATAATAAAAACATTAGTCATAAGAATAAACAATTTGTTTGTTGTACCTGCGTTTTTATTTACTAACAGACAACTCTTCTGGATGGGAATATAAGATGGGATTATGAGAAAATTTAATTAGTATTAATTGAAGCCTCTGTAACTTGTAAAGAGTTTCAATTTTGAGATTATTATCATTTTTGTATCTAAAAACAAAGAATTTTCTCTTGAACTTCATAGAGCAACTTACACTTTACATCATGTAAAAATTTCAAAAACTGGAGTGCATAATATAATTGCACGCTATGAGTAATAAATTAAGAGATAATCTCTCACCGTTATAAAGCTCGATTAGGAAGACCACGAATAACCTCTTAACAAGAGGATCAATTTATTATTTTAAATATCAAAAGGAATAGAGGACTCATAAGTCCTTAGATTCGAGCTGAGCTTAACACTAAAGGATCGGTCTCCGTTCCAACGGTAAAACAAAGACTAAGGGAAGCTGATTTATTGGAACTTGTTGGTACTATGAAACCACTTTTAAGGCCTCCTAATAATCAGAAATGGCATCATTGAGCACTTACTCATAAGGATTCAGCAGTGGAGGATTGGAAGAAAGTGTTTTCTGAGTCTTAGTTTCACATCTTTGGATCAAATCGCCGAATTATTGTTACCCGCAAACTGTCAGAGACGTTTCTCCCTCAGTCTCCCAATCTGAATCCAATTGAGTTGCTGTGACTTGAAGAACTTGATAGGAATGCCCGAGATCATGCTCCAACATCACGAAAACACTTATGGGAGCTTTTGCAAAGGTGTTGGAATGATAAGCTATTTGATAAAATAAATGTATAGGTTCATTGTTAATTTTCCACTCTATTTAATGTACTATTTGTATATATATATTTTTTTTTTTTGTATTCATTTGTTCGTTGAAATTTTATTTCATAAATTAATAAGTTTTGATTAAACTCTGTTTGAATTATTGGGGTTTTATTAAATAAATTGAGATGGTCGAATTTATAAATTATATTATTATAAATTTCGACAGAATATTTCTCTCTCTCTCTCACTCTCTCTCTCTCTCTCTCTCTCTCTCTCTCTCTCTCTCTCTCTCTCTCTATATATATATATATATATATATATATATAATATATATATATATATATATATATATATATATATATATATATATATATATATATAGTGGAGGATTGGAAGAAAGTGTTTTCTGAGTCTTAGTTTCACATCTTTGGATCAAATCGCCGAATTATTGTTACCCGCAAACTGTCAGAGACGTTTCTCCCTCAGTCTCCCAATCTGAATCCAATTGAGTTGCTGTGACTTGAAGAACTTGATAGGAATGCCCGAGATCATGCTCCAACATCACGAAAACACTTATGGGAGCTTTTGCAAAGGTGTTGGAATGATAAGCTATTTGATAAAATAAATGTATAGGTTCATTGTTAATTTTCCACTCTATTTAATGTACTATTTGTATATATATTTTTTTTTTTTTTGTATTCATTTGTTCGTTGAAATTTTATTTCATAAATTAATAAGTTTTGATTAAACTCTGTTTGAATTATTGGAGTTTTATTAAATAAATTGAGATGGTCGAATTTATAAATTATATTATTATAAATTTCGACAGAATATTTCTCTCTCTCTCTCTCACTCTCTCTCTCTCTCTCTCTCTCTCTCTCTCTATATATATATATATATATATATATATATATATATATATATATATATATAATATTGGATAAAGACCAGGGCCCGATCTAGAGAAGTAGGAGCCCTAGGTTTGGGAAGCTTTTGTTTGGATACATCTGTACCTGAATATTTATAGACTGTAAGACATATTTAAATTTTAAAGTAATAGAATATATATATGATATTTATTAATAATCGTGATACTGACTTCCTTGAAGGTACCTGGAGTTTTGTACAGGCTCCACACTGCCATGCCTGGAATAGCGAGAATAGCAGTAAGGGAAACTGACCATCCAATAACTTCTGCCCAACCTGGATAGGCATAATCACCATAACATAATGGTTCATTGATGAGATTGACCAAACCAATGATCACCACTCCCTATCAAAAGACAATCTAATATTATGATGCTGTATGTAGGCCAAGGAACTTTGAAAAGAAGAACAGGATATCTAGCATATTTATGTATGTTTACTTTGAAGAAACAATTACAATTAAGTATTAAAATTGATTTTATGAATTACGAAATGCCCATTATACACAAGAAGAATACTATAAAAGAAATTTTGTTTTTTCTTCATTAGCTATTTTAATTTAATACTTACAATAATGAAGATTGGGCTCACAAACTTCCAACATAAACGCCAGAATAAAGCTGGTTTTTTCCCCAACATATCTGTAACATCCTGACAGAATTTTTCAAGACCTGTAAATCAAATAATAAAAATAAAAATCGATTAGCTAAACTTTATATATAATTAATAAATATAAAGTTTTATAAATTATGATCCTTTGCAGATTTATTATTTTTTTATTTTCTTTATTTATTTCATTTTATATTTTTATTTTAAAAGTTTATTTTGTTATTAATTTTCAACTCATTTATTGCTATTTTTTAAAAAGTTTATTTATTTATCTATTCTATCTCATTATCTGAATTATTTATTTCTATCAATCCTTTTATTAAATTATTTTTATTTTTATTTTTTGCTAAACTTTATTATTTTTTCAATTATATTTAGAAAATTATCTATTAAAATTTCATTCATAATTAAGTTGGATATATTATATTTATTTAAGTAAGTTTAAAAACAAATGTGCTGTGTAAATATAACAATTTAAAGAAATATTAAAAAATAAATTTAACCAAAAACCTGTTTCCTGCATTGATACAATATACATTTAATCAAAAGAACACACCGCAGAGGTAATTATTTATAGCTAATGTTTGTTACATATAAGGAGTAGGGTAGCGTGGTGCTGACATCCTTGGATCAAGGTTCCGGGTTCGAATCTGGCTAATGAATAAGTAATTTTTCATTAGCTGTTGATCCACTCTGTGGTTGGGAGACCCTTCTGGAGCTCTTTTAATCTCTATAAAGCAGGTAATCTTAATTAAATAATTAATTAAGGGGGAACACCTAATGGTTAAGCTTGGTCCCAGCCCAATCACTGCATGAGCATTGGCCTTGAAATTGTGCTTCTTTATTAACATAAGTACTGAATCCAAAAGACCCTTTTGGATCTAAGTTGGTAGTGGTACAGGTTATATATATATATATATATATATATATATATATATATATATATATATATATATATATATAAAATAAGAAGAATTTTCTTTAAATTGCATTGAGTGAAAATATGTTGCATGGGGCTTTGGAGCAGTAGCAATGTCTCATATATACATTATATATATAAACTCGATTTTTTTCATTGAAATCCTTACATATTCCAGAAACCTGGTAAAGCCATTACAAAAATACTTGATCATTGTTACAGGTAATGTTACCAATCTTATATGTTCTATTTGCTAATGCATGTCTTATCTTTTACTGTCCATTCAGATAAATGTAAGAAGGGGAGGCACATTGTAAAATGTAAGTAGAAGAAATAAAGACTAAATTACAAGTAACATATTTTTTTCTTCTGATTAATTTGTTTTGGTTCAAATAATTCAGTAATATGAAATTAATGTTTAGATTTAAGGATGCTACCATTGGGTAGTTACTCAGCAAGTGTTTTTTCATGTCATTATATACATTATGTTCTAATTTACTAGATGTATTTATTTAATACAGTTGTAAATGTCTTTAAGAAATTAAAAAAAAAAAAAGATTTAAGGAAGAATTAATGTAATATATTGATAATATTCTGGTATATTTGGTGAAATTTAACAATGGATTTACATTAATTAAGAAGTTGTATAAGCCTATTGTATCTAGCATTTCTCATCTATATTAATAATGGTTTTTCATATTATAGATTAAAATAGGATGTATAATTTTAATTTATTATAATTGTATATGTATCATGGTTATGAAGTTGATAGATGTCAAATTATTTTTAGAGTAATAAAAAAAAGGCCATGAAGATGGACCATAATACAAAATATCAACCTAATTAAAGTGGAGTGAAATTTTAAGGGTTAAAATTACTCTTCCTGAAAACAAGAAATGAAACTATTATTGCAATACAATATTACTAAATTTAGAATTACCCTTGTTAAACATATAATATTTAAAGTATAATATATATAATATACTTATTCAACTACAAAACATAAACCAAAATTCTATATTTCTTTTTCTGAGAGTTAAAATACTTTTTCAACAACAGTAAGCTATTCGAAATTAATTTGTAAGAAGAATTGAATTTTTTTTTGAAGTGGTTTATTTGTAAACGATAGGAAAGGTAATAACCATTTGGTGATTCCCTGGAAGTGGAATAGATCTGGAATGGAATATTTTCTTTTCATAGATACACGTATGAGTTTTTGAATGTTTTATTTATTTTTGATTTGTATTTAAGTATTCTAGTATAACGAAAAATAGATTAATTTACAAAAAATTGCAAATTTTACCATAGAACCAAGCTACAGCAATGGCTTCAAAGAGTGCTGAACAAAGAAGAGACATTCCTGCGTAGGAATCTAGGAGATGGAAAAAGTATATCCCGCCCTGTAAAAAAATCAATTTGTTAATTTTGCCGTCAAATTCAGTGTTAGAACCATAAAAATAGTGTACAATAGACTCATGTCATAATCTCGCGATAACTATTTACTATTAAATAAGAAACGATAATAAAAAATATGTAGAAAGGGACATGAATAACTTGATGGCAGATGGGAAGTAGAGGAGACATCATCTTGGTAGCCTGACTTATATAATTGACATGATTTTTGTTTAAAATTTTCAGTACTGTTAGTGTTCTGGAAAATGCTGAACTTATTTGCGAAATCATTCAGATTGTACTAATAAACAAAATCACCTTTACTGGGTACACTATTTATTTTTGAACACAAACAGACTTTATTTTGGGAAAAGGTTCCTTAAGAATAACATGTAAGTACAAATCAACAGAAATAATATCGAACCAAAATCTAATTTAACAAAAAATCATACAATAGGTATAGTATCTTCAGTAAAATTATAAGTGAAGAAAAAGCGAAACCTAAAAATAAGGAGAAAAATAAATAAAGAAAAAGGTAGAAATGATATCCACTTCTATAAAAATGCAAATGCTTGCAAAGAGTTTGTTTGGGATGGGAGAAGGAATTGGAAAGGATTTATTTAAATTACAGGGAAGAGCCATGGCGGATATGATATAGCAGGGAATCCCAGAATGCTGTGGAGCGGGCAAGAAAGGGTTCAAAGGTTTATGCTCTGTGAGAGGGTGCATAGAGATCAGAAACTCGGTATCTTGTTCACTGTGAGTGAGCTGTAGGAGACAGTAGATGTGGTGGGAGTTGATCGCTTGGTTTAGGTGAGATCTAAGAAAGTATTGTGGGCTGAAGAAAGGGAAAAGTAACTTTAACTTGCCATGAAAGTATGACACACAAGGCCTTCTCAAAGTACTGATGTATGTAACTCTTAAGCAGTTCATGATTTTCTTCAGCCTGTCCTCGAATACAATCAAGAGACCGCCGTATACCATACACCAGTAGTCAAAGTGGAGAGAAATCAGTGAGGTTACGAGGAGCTTTCGGACGGGTGGTGGAAGATGATGACGGGCACGTTGAAATAACTTAAGTATAATTATTGGATTTCGGGAGATTTAGAATTTCCAGGAGAAGTTTTCGACAGTAGTAATCACTAAGCCTTTAACAAAGGGTGATTTTTGTGGACTAACGAAGAAAAGGAGGAGTTGCATCTACAAAGAAAATTGGAACCCATCACAATGGCTTCCAATGTGAAAGCGAGTTTTCATTGCGTTCAGCATTAATTTATGCAAGCTTGCCGAGTCACTGATTCTACTTCGGTCTTCCTGAATATTGAAAATGCAACTAATAACTCAGAAAAGGGAAAGGATAAATAGATTTGATATTCGTCAGCATATAGATGGTGTGAACAGTGGTTGATAGAATAGACAAGATCGTTTATATAGAAATTGAAAAGGAGAGGAGAAATGCTTGTATCCTGCGCCACTCCAGAGGATCAGATGAGGAAAGAAGATAAGGGTTGATTCGGATCACTAACTGCTGAAGTCCAATCGGAAAAGAAAGATTGGAACCAAAGCAGAATTAAAGGAATGTTTAGTCTGTTGGTAAAATATATTGAAAAGGATAGGATGGTGCAAATTATCGAAGGCTTTAGTCAAAGAGTATTAATTCAGTTAATACCAATGGGCTTGGCAAAAATAAGTTGCTTTGTTACATATATTCACTTTATATGATACACATTGTATTACAGTCAATTTTGTTCTTTACAGTGTGTACGTAATTTGTGATTTGAACGAGAGCGGATTGTGTTGAAAAGCTTGAGCGAAAACCAGATTGGTGGGAATCGAATATCTTTACATTCGAAGAAATGGGATATTTGTGATTGGTCCATTCTTTTTAGAGGTTTTGAAGTGTGGAGATTTGGCAGAAGTCTTTATGATGAGTGGAGTTGGAGGTTTTGATAATAGGACGGACTAAGGCTTTTTTTTTTTCAAGAAGTAGGAAAAACTGTATTATTGAGGGAAAAATTATAAATGAAATGAAGGACTGAAAGGATTTTGGAGAGACATAGTTTTAACATTTTGGGGTGTATACCGTCAAATCCATTGGATTTGGAATGAGATTGTGACAAAATAAGGTCAGTAGGAGAAATAAAAATTATCACTGTTAAATAAAGTTAATTAGGAAAGGTGGGAAGATGTTGGTGAAATACAGCTAGAGGGAGAAGATAAAAAGAACGAATTTAATTCATCAGGTTTTAATTTTCTTATTTTTTTAGGTTATTTTATTTTATTATCTATTGTATATACTTTTGATTATTATTTTGTTCTATTTATTTTATTTTTTTGTACATATAGTGTGAATGTTATCCTACCTCACTATAATGTCCAAGAGACAGATTGTTATAATACTCAATAAAGAAATAAAAAAAAAAAAGAAATCATCGGGTCAAACTGGAAAGACTAATGAGGAGGAATGTTTGTAAAGAGTGAGTTTTCGAAGAAGGCGTCATTTTAATTTAGAATTAAAAGCAGTGTAGAGCTACTTTCAGATGATACCTACTTTTTTATATTCCTATTTATAGACGTTAACAAGATATGAAAGGCACAGGAAAATCGAAGAATTTACACAATTTTAGAATTTTGTATTTCCACCTAGATTATTAGTTATTATATTATATTAGTTATATTACGAAGTTTTAGATTATTATGCACCTTTTGGTAAACACAATAACCTAGAACCCTGGTAGGTCTTAGTCCTATAGTATTGGTCCTAACAATACTCCGCGAATAAGGTAATGGAGGTAATTTATGTGTGAAAAAATAAATCATCCCTTGTTTGGTTACTTTAAAAGAATTTTCTTGCGTTTGAGTCTATAATACACTAATTGATGTTATATTTTATTAGTTATACCGACCGGTGTCACGTTGACTAATGCCATGCAGAAGGAGCTTCCAACGATGACGAAGGTGAAAATCTCTCGTACGTACTTGCTACCGATGAATCTTCCACCATACTCATCCATGAGGCCAGTTATGATACATTCGAGACCTCCCATCTAAAACAAATGCTTTTTATCTTAACTTGTATACATCATTGTAATTAATTTCTATCATTCTCAATATCTAGTTCTGAATCGTTTATCAAATAACAACCACTAAGTACATTTTAATAAAATTACAATGTTATATAGTAATGAGCAAAAAGTGCGCTTTCGAGGTAAGCGCATAATCGTTTAGTTAAATCCTAACCCTGAATTGGTATGAGCTGCCTTTTACGGAGCACGAATTGTAAACAATGATGTTTTACACGTTATCCACGAGTTGAAATATAACGGGTATATATTCCCTAAACTTGAAATTCGGTTTATTAAAAAATCAGATCCAACCTGTTGATTAAGTTGTGTCCCTCCATTTATGCATTTCTATCAACTTTTATATATCAAAACAGGTCTCACTTATGTATCATGTTTTTGCAATATGTGAAACAATAAGAAGCTTTTTATAAAAAAACATTGTGATTTAGATTTCTCCATGACAGTTTACTAGTTTTTAAGCGCTAGTAAAAATAATAAAATAAATTTGTAATGAAAATAGGAGAAAACAAAAAGCTGTTGATTTAAAGACAAATTATAATTCGGAAACCTCTGCGAAGTAAAGTGGCAGAAGCAAGGTATTCTGCTTCAAGTTTCGATTATGAGACGGCTCTTACGCGTTGTGATCCTTTGTAATTTTCTTCATGGCCGATATTAAAATTAGGAAACCGAAACTTTCCAAACTTCCTTAAACAATGGATCCAGTTAATTCTCAATGTATTTATTCTCTGTTTGAGTACATTGAGTTGAATGATTGAACTGAGAATACCCTTGATCTGTAGTAATTAGTGAATAGAAATTCAAAAAATATTATGCAACCTTCTTACCCTAATGAGGAAAAGTGCCTCAGTTCAGATTTCACCCTGAACTTAGTACTTCTTGGTATGTAATTGATCATTGTAATTGTCTAGCAAGGGTGATAAGGAATGAATTAGAAAATAAAATGTGAATAGAAATATCGCAGTTTTTATGAATATTATATTGTTAACGCCGCATACACTCATTTCTTTAATGTTAGTTTATAGATGTTTATTTATCTTTTTTCTTTGTAAATGTTTGAGGAACAATTTTTCCAGAAATGTATATAATTTGTATATTGAGTATTATTCCCGATGTTTATCGCTTATTTATATGCACAAGCACGGCAGTAATACCCAGTTTTAGGGATTAAGACATCAAAATAATGTGATAAGACTGCCGGAAAGGCAGTCTGGAGCGAGCTTTCTTTTATGTTGAGCCCACGTATTGGACGTCTACCCCCACCATTTCACCAACTCCAGGCTCAGCTCACCTCACCTGGCACCAGCCTAGCGCCATTTTCAAACAACAGCTGTTCGCCGCATCGGCAGTCGGCAGTCGTTGACGAGCTTACCTTACATTAAATCAGACGGCCTAATCTTAAAATAGACATAATCTCCTTTAAACAAAGCCTCTCATTATACAATAATAGACCCTTGTATCGTTTAAACTCGAAAAAGTTAAAATAAATTATATCATACCTACCGAATCATATAATATACTGTGTTTTCTATTTTAAAACAAATATACATACATATTTACTCAAAGCAAATGCAATACCATGAAAAATTAAACAATATACGTTAAACAAATAACAGATAGAAAATGAAAGAAAGGAGAATAAAAATAAACATAAATAATGAATTGGATAAATCCTAATTCACGAAAGAATCCTGAATCCCGAAAAGTTGATTATTTTTGGCAGATTAATTTTTCTCCTGTATATTAAAGATTCATGGCTTTAAAGTGTGGGTTTTCCCATTTATGTCGTAATCGCTGTATCTCTCTTTTTGAGCTATATATAGGTTTGAGCTATTTTAGTAATATTATTTATGGAGTAGTGGTGTCTCGTCCACTGGGTTATATACCTTGAAAATATTTACAAATTAAGACGTCTGTACTATACTAGTATAGTTGTCGAAAAACCATATAGCAAGATGGAAATATTCCAATACCATAAAGGCCACACTAAAATTTATTGCCCCCGCTTGCCGAGCTGCGTGAAGTGCGGGCAACAAAACAAGTCGGGAGAATGCAATAAGTACAGGAAAACACCTGCGGTGTGCGCATTATGCCATAAAGAAACCCAGCAGACTACAAAGGATTCCAGACCTATAAAATATTAAAATCAACATTTCAAACAGTTCCTAGACAGGAAGAGACATCCAGGGCTTCCAGACCACCAAGACAACAGACAAGATTTACAAACAATCAAGTCTCCTATGCTTAAATACTGGGAGAAATAGAACAGCCTACTCAACCTCAGGCCCTGCCACAGACTCAACCACAACCTCATGATCCGCCACACCCACTTCATAACACTCAAAAATCCAGCCACCATCAAGTGTCGTACATCCCTTCCTCTAACAAATCCAATGATCTTACGAGCCTCCGTTCATCATTCCTCTCATCATCATTCAGATCTCTTATCACACCACTTATCTCCTTATTTACAAACGTCATATCAAATTAATATTATTCCACCGCCAAGAATTCCTTAAATGCCGTCAATAAACCTCTTTGCATACTCCTCTGGAATGCGAATGGTGATCGAAACCACATCAACGAACTAACTTTTTTCCTACAGGACAAGAACATTGACGTAGCCCTAATTACAGAAACTCGACTGACCATAAAACAGCGTTTAAAAATCCCACAGTATAAACCTTACTACTCCTCTCCAAAACATATCGTAAAAAGAATCCTTTGCACCAAGACCTTACTAAACTAATTAAATCCAAACGCCAATCTAGGACCTTCTGGCAAAGAACCAGGCATAATGATGATTGAAAAATATACAATTATTATTCTAAACAGGTAAAAAAAGAACTAGCTTCCTTTAGATCACAATCGTACAATTCTTATCTTTCTTCCCTATCTATTGATGACAACTCCCTCTGGAAATTGACTTGAAAAATCCTTAAATACCATTCTGTTTCCCGTCCTCTCCGATGCAATGATGGAACCTGGGCTTCGTCAGATGAAAGAATTTGCCTCCCCACCCCGAACTCCATTCCACCCTCACTGCTGAAATACAAGAATTCCTCTCTTCTCCTATTCCTCTCCCTCTTTGCCTCCTTAAGCTGTCAACCCCTCTGAGGTCAACTTCCTTATTAGCAACCTTAAAAAGCAAAGACTATTGCTCGGGAGCATTCATGGACATCGAGCAAGCTTTCGACCGCATATGGCACACTAGACTACTCTTCAAGCTCAAAACCCACCTACCTCAGTCCTTATATCTAATACTCCGATCCTACCTCTCTGACCGCTCCTTTCAAGTTCGCTGTGGTATAGAACCCTCCAACTGCCATTCAATTAGGCGGGCGTTCCTCAAGGAAGCGTCTTGGGTCCCGTCCTTTACATTCTGTTTACCTCTGATATTCTTACTCATCCTAAAACCCTCCTGGCAACATTCACTGATGGCGCAGCCATCCTATATTCCAATCGAGATCCTAAAACAGCATCCTTAAACCTCCGAAGTCACCTTACTCTTATTGAACACTGGTGTAATAAGTGGCTCATCCAAGTAATTGAATCCAAATCCAAACATATCACTTTCATCCTTCGGTGCAAGTCCTGTCCACCAGTCTACTAGATGGCTAGCGGCTTTCTACTAGATAAAAGACTTAACGCGGAACCTATATACCAGACTTAAAAGACAACAACTTAGCAGACGATACTGATAGCAAATAGACTAATGAATAGAAAATCTCAACTTTCAGTCGACAACAAACTACTAATCTACAAGACAATCCTGAAACCTATCTGGACCTACGGACTAGAGCAATGGGGGATAGCAAAACCTTCAGTCTAAAGTACTCCGAACAATAGTCGATGTTTTTTTCTACGTAACCAATAAAACCCTCCATAATGACCTTCATATCCCATATGTTATTGACCTAATCCCAGATAAATTTTTCAAATTTCATTAAAACCCCACTGGTCATCCAAATCATATATCACAATCCCTATCTAGCTCCAGCCATCCCTTCAATCCACCCCGGAGGTTAAAACGGCAGTGGCCCCGCGACCTTTTGTAGGTATGTATATATTGCAGTACTGAAAATGGCCAGATTCTCCACTCAAGTCCTGAGCGTCTGTTGTGCCCTCCATCAGTCTCCACTGGCTTCCAATACCAGTGACGCGGCTGGGAGAGAAGCACTGAGATCTCCTGGAGTCATATCTTTGCTTCCACATTTGGGGGACAAAGCATGACTCAGAGTCCCCTGGGTGATTGTAAATATTATATATAGGTGTGGCAGAATGTATTAATTTTCAAAAAAAAAAAAATTCTCCTATTCCTCTCGCTTTGCCTTCTAAACCTGTCAACCCCTCTGAGGTCAAATTCCTTATAAGCAACCGAAAACCTCGAAAATCCTCTGGACACGATATCCTTACTTGCCAGATTCTTAGACAACTTCCTAAAAAAGCAATTATATTCCCCACATACCTATGCAACTGTATCGTCCGCACAATTCCATTTCCTCTGATATGGAAACACTCCATAATCATCCTATTCTCTAAACCAGGTAAACCTGTCAATAATACCTTATCCTATAGACCAATTAGCATGCTTCCAATCCTCTCTAAAATCTTTGAAAAAATCTTTCTCGAACGCATACTACCCATACTTGAAACCTACAACGTCCCATCCCATCAATTTGGATTCCGCTCAAGACATTCCACTGATCAACAAGGTCTTCGCTTTGTTGACCATATATTCTCTACGCTTGAAAACAAGCAATAATGCACCGATGCTTTCCTGGACGTAGCGCAAGCTTTCGACCGGGTGTGGCATGATGGCTTTTCAAGCTCAAAACCCATTTACTCCAATCCTTATACCTAGTCGTCAAAGCCAACCTCTCAAATCGTTCCTTTCAATTCCTCTGCGGCACTGAATTCTCCAATTATTATCCAGTTGAGGCTGGTGTTACACAAGGAAGTGC